GCACAATTATTATTATTAGTATTATTATTATTATTTTATTAGTAGTAGTTTTTTCTATTTTTTACATTTTAAATTTTTTTTCATAACCAGTGAAAACAACTATGAACACGGAAGTTTTTTTTTTTTAATTGTTACATGTTGTGTAATTGTTTGTTGGACAATTATTTGTGAGTGAATGTGTTTGGGTATGAAAAAATCTAATAAATAAAGTTATATATAAAAAAAGAAATATGTCATAATCTATTCACAGTGCGGTTATTTCAAGCATAATAGAAGTATAACTAGGGTGTTACTACAGAATAGTTCTTTGCATTGTTATCAATGAAGCTTTCCGGGCCAAATATGTATATGATTCATTAGATGAAAGATAATTCCTTGTTTACAGAACATTGCTGTAACATTCTCTATACCGTTGAATAATTACGTATTAAGTACATTTTTTGATGATGTTTTGTGACAAACTTCAACTGGTTTTGTAATCTCTAAAATCTACACACACACACACACACACACACACCTGCTGCCTACAGGGACGTCAAAATGAGCCATCGTGTAAGGACACACCTACAGGATTGTCAATCTGGTTCAGTTTGTTTTCCGAAGTTTTTCATTCTCCTCATCTTCTAAAGACACCAACACACATGATGTCTCATTAATAAGAGCAACAGCTGTCAAAGAAAACAGTACAAGGTAAGGTAGGTTTGGATTTTATTTGTTCCTCTTCTTCTACTAAATTGGCTGCTTTATTTTACAAAACACATTCAGCTGTTTTTGTGAATTTCTGTTTTTGCCAACCAAAAGCGTGGATAATTTTATGTTAAAATTGTTTTGTTAAAATTTTAAACATCCATAATGCTTAAAACTCCTCTATTTCTCTTCCACATGGTTTTCATAGACGTTCCCTTAGAGAAAATTCAGTTCTGCGAAAAAGCTTGAAGGATTAGTCTTTATACAAGGTACATTTACATTCTCAAGGTACAGTTGAGATTTTCAACTTTCTGCTTCAACGCTATATTTAACTGATTGATTTGTATTTACAGTCTCATTGAATGTTTCATTTGTTTAAATGTAGTTTGAGTCTATTCCTGTGTCTTTATTTGTCTTTCACACAGTCGTCATCATGGTGAAAGATACTCTGAATGACCTGTCTCAGCTCAAACAATCAGGCTTCGGTCAGCCAAAGCCGAGACATGGCCTGAACCTGTTGTATTGGTTTGCTCATGAGTATATATACTTCAGAAATGGGAAAATTGTCTCCAAATATACTCCTCAAGCTAAACGCTTTGGCTTTCACAAGTTCGAAAATGATGATAATGATCACATTGTTCCCCTTCAGAATCTCCCATACTATGAGGTGGGCAACCTGAACGCTGGAGGAGCAGACGAACTCCCAGATTATGTCAGGGCAAAATACAACCAGAACATTCTTGACAGTAACAAGGATCGCATTATTGTGTCTCAAGACACCAATGGCAACTTCAACAGTGTGTATGTGACTGAACACTTGAAACATGACTTGAAACTATTCGACAGCAGCAGAACCTACTGCGTGAGCCAGCCCCTCCTCCAGACCATCAAGAACATGAGTAAAGAGCAGTTTCTCCAACAGACATCCAACACTGGAGAAGATCGTGCCTGTCTTCCCCGGCTCTCCAACACTGAAGAGGAGGATGTCAAAAGAAGAGAGCAGATATGTGAAGTGACTGTGCCTAAAGACAATTCCTGCTCATGTACCATTCTTTAAATACAAAGAGCTGCTAACTCATTAATATTCTCTCGTTCTGTCCATGGATGTTATGATGATGATGATTATTAATAGCCTAATAATACTATGTTTTATATAAAGTATCTGTTACTGATGGGTAAGTTAGAAAAAAAATTCACGAAGATTCGAAACCTTTATGAATGTTTTGGTTTGAATCGCGCAGCGGACGTATTATCATTGGTATCATCGAACTGACCGATTCACGTGATTTCAGTCAACGAGGCTACTGTTTTGAAAGTAGGTTGACAATGGGTAGTATAAGTTGATCCCGAGTCATTTTTATGATTAATAAAAGTTGAGTAGAATGCACCAGCATAGAATTAACCAGCAGATGTTACCAGAGTGCTGGGTATCATTTTGCGAAGCAATTGGTGCAATAAATAGAAGTTTCAAAAAAGCCTAATTTCTCCCGTCACTATTATTCATGTTCCTCTCCTATTATAATCATTTTAGTTATTAGCTGATTTTCTTTCTCTTCTATTTTATATATGGTTTCTCTGGCTTGGTTTGAAATAAAATTACTTTGGAAACTCACACTTTGAGCGATTGTTTCTTACTGTTAATATTAATGAATCTTCTCTTTCATACCGTAGGCAATTATGCCCTTGAAAGCAGGTACAAGAATGTGAGGGAGACTTGGCGCCGTTTTCATACTTTGTTAAGTAGGCCTATCCCTTGTAGAACAAACTGTAACCCAACTATATGCAAATGAAAGTTTAATTCTCATAAAATGCCTTTTCTTGATTTGGCATGTGGTCTAGTTTTTAATGAAAGCAATAAACAGTAAATAATAATTATTTTTATGATTTATATGTTATATTATTAATTTGAGCCATTTTGTAAGCATTTCTTGTTTTTTCATTCTCGTTTTGATCACTGATCACTTAATTAGAGATAGACTAGTGGCTAATTATATGAATGTATTTGAGTAAATATTTGAATCCTCAATGACTGATTCTTTGATTGCACTCTATTTGCCAACCAAATATTTCACCATGGAGTCACTCCTCCCCTGACACATGATATGGAACAAGATCAGATTCTGTTTGCAGATCTTTGCATGACTCACATAAAAGGGTATGAACACTCCCATCACTTCAGTAAAGTCAGTTGGATTCATTTTATCACGTGTTTATATAACTTATCATTTCACTATTAAACCAAAACTATTAACATGTGGTACACTGTAAACAACATTTTTGTTTAAGAACCTAATTACCAGAAATTTGGTGAAAACACTGAACTGTTATGTTCTTGTTCATTTTTGCTGTTTTCCTCTTGCTTTTAAACATGAAAATATATAGTTTTCATGCTGTTTGTTTTTAATTTTAAATCTGTGTATTGCACCTTGTCTCCAGTAATTCTAATGTCCATCAATCTTTGAATTTAAATGTGCAGTAGGAGATCTTGGAAAAAGCTAACTTTAGCCTGATAGCACTGAAAGCGAACGTCCCACCCTCCCTGCAATCACCGTCCAAAGCCACGCCCCCTGAACGCATTTATACGCTCACAGACCAGAATACAAGAGACAACATTACTACAATAGGCTACATCAGCGGTTCCCAATTCCAGCCCATGTTCCGAAGTGAAGTAAACTTCAACGGATTTCCCCTGCTCAGGGAGTAGGGAGCAATGAACTCTGTGTAGGGATCATATCGATCTGAACACAGTTCATGCACGTAGTTCACTTAACGAGCTGGCGCGCGAGGACTGGATTAACCGCTGGCTAACTCATTTGTCATTCACCTGTGAGAAAACTTTAAAAGTACTACAATACCAGGAAGGAAGATCGGGTTGTTGATGTTTGCCTGCCATCCTCGCTCTGTCTGCACAGTGTGCGTGAACGAACTGATGACGTATATTGTCTGCGCAAACCGGGTGCGCAGAGGTATGCTAATACATACGTTGACAGGCAGGTAGGAAAGCATATTAAAACGCTCGGATCGAGGGCTTTGATTGGACGAACATTTCTTGATCCTACGCCTTCCACAGAATATATAAATACAGACAAATACATTTAGACCACTTAACTTAATGATTGCTATCGGGATGTGCAGAGACTTTCAACCAGCATAACAAAAAATGTTTCTGAAGACAATCACCTATTGCACCTTTAAGATATAATGTTGAGCTTTGCATGTTTATCACTGGATTCTTTTAATGATTTATTACAATGATGTAGATAAATATTTCTAATCGAAGCAGACAGAAGATAAAACTTGAGACTCTATCAGTTAAAAAACAGAGATAAGACATTTAATATATCATAAAATATAAATCGCATCCCATTTGGATGATAACAATTATGAATACTGTATAATAAAATAAATATTTCATATGAATTCTGAATATGAGTGAGACATTATTATCTGTCCCATCTGCTCTAATGTATTTCTACAAGTTTCAGTTTCCATAGTATTCATAGTATTCTATTCATCAAAACAGAAACTGAAACAGACACACACACGTACAACCTGCAGGACAACTAGTGTGTTTTACTACAGTGTAGTTCCTGTCGTGAGTTCAGCGACATTAGCAAACAAACATGCTGTCGTGTCATATGAATGAAGCAGTCGGTGCCAAAGATCTAGTTTGGCGTCTACAAGGTAAGACAAATCATTTTTTCAATATACATGTACACACACATACATATATATATCAGTTTTGTGTAAGTGTAAGTGTATGGCAGGAACAGAACTTTATGAATAACAGGTGTTCCATTTCTGCAGACTTAACTAATGATGAAATTAACTGATTTAAATGAAGTCCTGATGAAGAACTGATTTATTCTCCTTCTTGGTTTTACATTTTGAAGTTTTTTGTAATTGTAATTATATTAAAAAACATAATATTATAACATTTATTGCATTGAAAGTGTACTTTCTTTCAACAGGATTGTCAGAAACATGGTGATAACCCTGAATAATTTGTCTGATCTGAGAGAGAGCAGGTTTGGTCAGCCGCCTCCCAGACACGGTCTGAACTTGTTGTGGTGGTTTGCTCATGATTGTGTTCAGATTGACTCCAATGGTCGTTTGACTGCAGAGTGCAACCCTACAAATGGAGCATTTGGTTTTCACCAATTTTATAATAGGGACAGACTTCTTCCTTACACTTACCTGCCATACTATGAGGTGGGCAACCTGCATTCCACTGGTTCACTGCCTTATTATGTCACTGAGAATTACACTGGATATTCAGACAGCAGCAACACAGATCGCATAATTGTTTCCTTTGACTCAAGGCGGAGAAGATTTGAGAATGTTTATGTGACACAGCACTCAGATCAGGTGCACTTTGATCAGAATCACACCTACTGCATTAGCACTGAACTCATCAAGGACATTCAAGACTTGAGCCGTGAAGCATTCCTCAGTGGACGCACAAATGGTTCTGAACATATATCCATAGATATACCTCAGTCCGAGCAGATTCAGCCATTTCAGAGTCAGTCCACTAGTGAAGAATGCTTTGCTCGGCTAACTTGTGCATTGTTTACTTTGATCTGTATTGCAGCTATTGTCTGGTATTTGAAATAATGAAAATATAGTTTTCATCCACTGTTGTTTGTTATTCTAGCTAATTACAAAGCTGTCATTAGGTACTTGTCTCTTTTGGATGAGCTGTTTATATATTTGAATACAATGAATTACATGTTTTTACATGTTAATTATATGAAATAAGATTGTATGTTTGCATACTTTTTAATGTTTAAAGTAAAACTAAGGAAAAATATTACTATTAATAGCAATTTGAATATTGGGCGACACATCCCAATCAATGTCTTAAGTGGTTATGCCCAGATTTATAGTAATTTAGTTTCTTTATTCATATTAGTTGTGCTTATTGTTTGACAAATACAAACAGAGACTGTATTACCTTGAAATAAAAGTCCAAAAACCATTGACTTGTATGATATTATTTTAATTTAATTAAACTTGTCTATTAACTTTGCCATAAGGTTAATATTTCATATTATAATCTCTTAACCTGAATAAATTATAATACATTTTAATGTGATTAATATTGAATATTGAATTGAAAATTGAATATGAGTGAGACATTATACAGTTTAATATCAAGTAGCTTTCATGTAAATATCCTCATTAACTGTTCTGTTGTAATGTGTTTTTCTTTCCACACCGATGAGTTTCTGTTTATCACTACAGCAATAATCACACACTTATAACCTGTAGGTCAACGAGTATGTGTTACTATAGGGTAATTCCTGTCATGAGTTCAGTGACATCAGCAAACATGCATTGTCAGTGTCACAAAAATGAGGCGTAGTTGAAGACATTTATTGCTAATTCAAATGTGTTAATAAAGATGCAACAGCAAATTTGAAATCAGTCCAAGATTGTGTCAAAATGATGATATTTTTGTATGTTTTTAATTGTTAGATAAATTTGTGAAGATCAACCTCTAATGTTGAGCGAAAACTATGTTGAACGCACTCACACTCTCTGTCTGCTTCACTTTCTATGTCCTACATAGTCAACTGCTCTCTCTCTCTTCCGGTTTAACTATGGAAGAACTAAGGTCTTTATTATTTATTCAGCTTTGATTCATATTTTAACTTTGAATTACTCATTCCATGCACAGATACATGCAATTAATACTGAACCTGACACAAACTGGTACACAAAACTCCCCTTTAGCCTTGGGGTATGTTGTCACAAAAAGTCAATAGGTATGTGTTCATTGATTTGTACCTTTTTTTTCCTGGACAGTAACAGTTGGAAATGGTAAATTTTTGTAGTCACAGCATAAGGGTCTGATACAGAAATTGACTTTTAAAAATAAACCTAAATGTTTACTGAAGTATAACAGTGACGTATACAGACACGTATGCTAATTTTAAACACCAATTTATAACATTCAATACAACAAAGTTAATTCGCATGACACTATGCCTTTATAAATATACTATGATCTGTGTTTTCTCATTTTACAATAGATACACTCACACTACTGTC